CCTCCTGCCATCACACTGAAGCCAGTGTTTCAGCTTGCCTTCCTGTCGCCAACAAAGCATCTCCTCTCTTTGTTGGGGCCTCCTTTTAGAGAGGGAGGCCGGCCTCCAAGTTAATTGTGCATTCGTTAGCATTCGTCTGCCGCAACTTACTGACTTAACTCCTTAAACTGTAGATGGGGTGGTGTGTGTGTGTGTGTGTGTGTAAAACATGAAGACATGAAGAATATTGTTCATTTACATTCTCGACCAGGTTTTACTCACTACGACATAAAATCAAAAAAGCAAGCCTTCAGTTAAATATATGGTAAACCAGAAAGAAATGAATGACAAACACTAGCGGCTCTGGGAGGCTGCAGTTAGGCACAGTGGTGTTCTAAACTAAATGGTATAGTCAACATTGGTAATAACCTCTCAACACAAAGAACAGATGGGGCTCATGGGAAAGTAATTAGTTTTGCAAGTATATCATAATAAATAAAGCAATGGATAAATAAAAAAAATGACTTTATGGAAAGTTAGGTAATCACCAAAGTTATTACAATTCTTCCAGTGGAGAACATGAACTTGTGTCCCAAATTTTATGGCAATCTATCCAATAGTTGTTGGGACATTTAACTAAAAGCCACAAATTTCAATCTAATGGTGGCATAAGAGGAAAAGTCAGGGAATCCCCAAAGTCATTAGGACACATCCCACATCTGGGACCCATGAATATCTGAACAAAATGTCAGGAAATCCATCAAACTGTCTGTAAGTGGTGAACTCATAAACAGACTGACGGAGGAAAACATACAGAAAGGATCTATTGTAGGATCACTGTAGAATTTTGTGCCAATCAATTAGATAGATATTGAAATTATATATAAATATATATACTTCACAATAGACAAGACCTGCTGATGGAGCTTCATCCAATGAGGACCACGAAGGTGCAAATGTCATAGCAATCCATTCAGTACTTAAATACTATAACCAAAAGTTATCGTCAACTAATCGGCCAACCAGCATTGCCATCCTTTGAACCGCGGTGCTAGGAGGCTAAAAAGTTTATTTAACAATATCGATCTTCTAACTCCTCCTCACACTTTGTATTTTACTGTCTCTGTGACCTTGGACTTGTGAACACAGCCTGTGAATTATTCAAAACTGAATACAAAACCAACAAGAGTAAAAGCAAATATCTCCTTATTATCAGTAAATATTGGTACACAACCCTGGAAATAAGGTTGAATATTAAACATTTCTCCAGTTATCCAAAGGGAACAATAAGTACACTTGTGGAATGTTGTAAATACATTACATTTACATTTCTATTTACAGTAAAATATGGGAATATAATTGACGGTTCAGTGTTTCGTTGATAGCACTCAAGGGTTAAACTCTGTTTAGTTCCATAATAGAATAAATTACTGTCTATCATCTGTATTTTATCTCTTACCATCTCTATTATCTCAACCATCTTGACCTTTTCTATCAATTATCCTCCTCCTCCTACTTCTTCCTCTCTACCATTTTCATTCAACGTATATTATCTATCTGAAGTCCTCCACCATCCAAGGGTTATGTCTAACATCAGTTTTTTCTCTACCTGCACTGTGTGTACCATTGATCATCTCTACTATCTGATTTCCATCCTCTCTTTAATCTTTACATCTCTATCATCTGCTGCTCTGTCATCCGCTAACAATTTGCATAGCTAATGACAGAGCATCAGCTATAAAGCAGGAAGGAGAAAGAACAAATGGACTGTAAACTCACACATGCTCTCGAGGGAAAACAGAAGCAACTTGTGACAGACCCAGGATTGTTTTTTTCATTGCAACACACTTTACAACACCCACTCTATGGCACAATCAGTAGAGGTAGAAGCCTATATTTGCACAAATAAACCTCAAACAGTTTGGTTGTAGAAAAGACCAGCCACAGGTAAGAACCTTAGCTACAGTAGTTGAATTGTTTAGGTAATTAAACAGCAGCTTAATCAGATGGATTATCTTCTGAGCTGAAGGTAGAAAACACCCAACAGGCTGCTGGTCATTGTTATGGTCATCTTGAACCTGACTAATAGAATATAGTTTGCTTTTGGAAGAAAAATGGCCATCCCCATGAAAATTGGGGTACTTTTTTCTCATGATGACACACACACACACACACACACACACAGTGAAAACAATACCAGCCACTCTATCGCAGCTGGTAATTACTACAGTTGTTGTATGGGGTCAGTCCTAGATCTGTCAATGTGATTAGATTATGCCATAAAAAAGATAGAAAATAAATTAGACATAAAGTTTTTCCGCTCAGAATTTTTTACCTACGTCTCTTTATCGCCTTTATCTTCTTCTTGCTTCTGTCTCCACTGCTGCAACTTGAGTGTTTCCCTCACGTCTGTCTCCTCTCTCCTCATCCCATCATTCAGTCTCTGTTTGACTTAATGTCTCTTAAAATCAAACAGTACTTAAAATTGCATAGCATCAGTTACAGCAGTAATTAAGTTCACTAAAGGGCTGATAACTATGATCTTTTAAAGAACACGTCATTAGTTGATGCAGCACATTTCAGTTATGTCCTGACCATGCAGAGGAACCGCCAGTTGTGTTTGTCACATTGCAGGCAGAAAGTCTCTGAATTTCTCAGCTGCATGAGGTGATCACAAGCAGCAGATGTGCAGCTACATAATGCCATGCATTCCCACTTCCAGTGTAGACATGAAGAAGACAAAACCAAGGAACTGGAGAACCTGTCACTTCTCCGCCGGAACTCGTTTTTGTTTTTCTCTCTCTTGTGTTTCTGTGCGTTCCCCTGTTCCGTCCCGCTGTCTCCTCCTTCTCCCCCGGGCCTGTCGTATGCGTGCGTGTGAGTGTGTGTGTGTGTGTGTTGTGGGCGGGGCTTCACTCTCCTGGCTCCTCTCCACACCTGTAGTCAATCACCTCATCAAGCTCGTTGTTCAAGTACCCCGGCTGTCTCGCCACTCGTCGTCAGCCAGTCTTTGCCTGCCACGCCATCTCACCTGCAAGCCCTCCAGCCAAACTCCGCCGTTCCCAACAACGCCCCCCCCCCCAGTCATGAGCAGTGAGACAGTGTTGTTTTGACATCAGTAAAGAGTTTATTATTTCATTTTAACAGTCTTGTGTGGCTGTGGTGGTTTAGTTAGTCTTTTACCTTTTTGATATTAGCTCTTATAACAGACATCCCCTTTGTTTTCACTCAGGAATTCAGGAGTTTTAGCTGTTGGGTAATTGAACAATATTAAATTACATGTGTGCTGAAGGCTGTGCAGGCTGCAGTGGAAAGTAAGGACCTTTACTCTTAAATACTGTACTTAAGAACAGTTTTGAGGTACTTGCACTTTACTTGAGTATTTCCGCTTTATTTCCTCCAACCCACCATTTCAAAGGGAAATATTGTACTTTCTACTCCACTACATTTATCTGACAGCTTTAGTTAAACAAGCAAGATACTGTGAGGATTGCAACAATTGAGCTCACTGAAGCAAGCACCTGCACTGAACTGGCTTCCCTTTCTCCCCGGAGAAGAAGTTGAGCCCCCGATTGTCCTTGTATAACCCACACAGCATTTGTGGATAGTGAGATATTTGTGGATCATTAAACATATTTGTGGATTCTCTTCTGTGGACACTTCACATTTGTGGATTTTTTCTACAGATCAGCTACAGTATGATACACATTAGTCAAATAAGGACTGACAGGAAGCGATCCACAAATGTACAAAACCTGTCTCAGGTGTCCACGGGGATCAACAGATATGTAAATGTTTACAGAGTATGTTATGCCTATTTGCATTGCCATTCGCATTTTGGTGGATATGATTTTACACAACTCAAATAACAAAATACATGTTTATTGATAGTGAAACATTTGTGGATACACATTTGTGAATTATCTTCTGTGGGTTACAAATGATAAAGTCCAATAAAAACTTCCATACAGATCTGGAATTTTGTGACATTTTTATCAATTTCTCAGGAAATGATGTATGGATCTCGATCTATAAAATCAAACATATCTATGAATCTTTACAGTTTGGTGAAGAACCAGATAAACATCCAGATCTGGTGGAAGAAAATGCAGGATTGTTTGAGCTTGGTGGAGGTAAAAGCTCTACTGAGTGCTATTCTAGTTTGTTTCTGTATTCCTCTCACAGCTTATGAATAATGTATGCTGCAATATCCGTGTTTCCAATTTTATCTTTTTCAAAAAGACAATGAGAAAATTAGCCTTGTATAAGACCGTAAGGAACCAAAGTCATCAAATGCATGACTCAGTGTTTACTAATGTCATGTTATGATCTGGTCTACTGAAATATATTAACTGAAGACATCTGTGTGGAGCAGTACTCTGTTGATCCCCCACTTCAAAAGGATGAGCAGGGGCTCAAGTTACAGTAGCACAGAAGGAAAACAGACTCACCTGAATCCTGTCTACATTAAAACTGTACTATTTCTAATGAGGGTCACCCTGTTTTTTGATCATCCAAAATTACAAAAAATAAAATAATGACAATACTGATTAATTATTGTATTTGCATAAATTAAATTCCCCACATCTATTAATTTCTTTTATTTGAAATAGACAGATTCCCTGTGCATCTTGATTGGATAACCCAAAGTTGACAGATGTGTGTTTAATACATTGTAACTACACATTTGCAGTGTGCAGCATCAAACTGATCTCGTACATGAGGATACAGCGTCTCTTCTGAGGAGGAAAAATCGCACATGTATAATTTTATATTGGTGGAGAGTATGGTTAAAATGTAAAGGAATAATATATATATATATATATATACACACACACAAACACATACACATACATGAGTAAGTAAATATTCTCCTCTGTGTTTCTTTGTTTCTTCTAGCCTCAGGTGTGAGCTCCCTTTATCCTGTCACGACTTAACTTCAGCCTACCTGAGTCAAGGTGGCGGCTACAGTGGTGGGTTGTGCGCATGCGCATATCTCCGTTCATCATTACATTATAAGGGCAGGTCGGAGAGCGGAGCCTGGTTCAGTGTACAGTATCTGGACCGGACCGAGGCGGCAGGAAATACATTTGCAAGGCGGAGGAGATGGAGGACAAAGAGAAAAAGAAGAAGGATAAAAACTCGTCCAACAGCGACAGAGTCACTCTGAAAAAAGAAATTGGACTTTTGAGCGCTTGTGCCATTATCATCGGTGAGTGTGTGACAGCTTTTGATTTAAACAGTGTGTTCATGAAGACCTGGTCGATACGGTGAATTCATCTGCAATGAGAAGTTAACGGGAAACGTGTTTGAGCGGCCAGCGGGTGGAATAACTACTGTAACGTGGCGGATGTGCAGTTCTTGCTTTGCTGTTTAAGTTACAATATCACAGCACACAGCAAGAGTCTGCCACAGCAGGAGTCCGTTTTAGTTCGGGTCCTGGTCTACTGTAAGGACGCTGTAAGGAACCCCTACAGCGTCCTTACAGTTTCTGAGTGATAAATCGAAATCTGACATAAAACCGCCAAAAACGCACGGAAGGTCGGTTTTACGCACGGATACTCCACCTCTGATGTGCGGGTACAGTTCGGACTGCTGAGTTTGAAGGTAATGTGTGGAAACTGTTGCATCAGTCTATGATGATCTGAATATGGACATGCCTACGTGGCTGGATCTTCTTATGTTGAACTTGAAAGACACAAAGCGCAGCCTCCATGTGGGTCTGTGCGACAGTTACGCTCTAACACTGCCGGGGTTAGGGGTTCAATTTCTCAAGCGGTGCACCGGGTAAAGCAAGGCATTAATGTTGTTCCCTCCTTGCAATCATCCTATTATAACACACCCACAGCAAAAATGTGCTCGTGCTCCACGGCAGGCAATTTATAAGAGAGAAATGCCGCCGCAAAAAGTAAAGACTGTTTTAAGGCAGGAAGTTGCGTTGTTGCAAACAGTTTCCTGTAAATGTATGAATGGATGTTCTGACCGATGTTAACAGTATTCAGTGACGGAAACAACGTCATTTACAGCAATAAACTAAACAGGATGTGCCTTATGTGTTTTTATAATCTGACACTAATGCAGAGGCTTCCCCAAGCTGCAGCTGCCAGCTGATAAACGGCCTGTGACTGGATACATCCAGCATCTAGCCTCTGTGTTTGTGGGGCAGGGGGAGGACATGGCTATCGACTTAATGAAATGACATGAATGTTGTCATGAAGTCAGGAGGTTATTTTTGTATGAGACAGTATGTTCTTGGAGTTTGTTTAGTTTATTACAGACACTTTAACTCATCTCCTTTTTATTATAAACTAAATGTCCACTTGCACCTCTGCTGTTTAGAAATCAACATTGTTATTTACATATGTTCTGCCAGGTTACTCAAAATATATCAAAACATACATAAATTTGGGAGACCAGCTGAATGAGAGAATGGATAAAGCGATCGCTTTGCACCCAGTCCCTGACATTCCTCACAAATTGCTCTTGCCTCTGAAGTTACAACTTAAGATGATCTTGGAATATGAGCTCATGTTTTTGACTTTTCAGCCGTCATTTATCAGCCTGTATGACTATGTGTGGTCATAGAACGGGGGGGGGAGCGGAGTCACAAGACAGACTTTAACTGGACGTCCATAGTCCGTTAGATGTCATGGGGCATTAGGAATGTGCCACTGAAAACATAAATTATTTCCACAGGTCTCCACTGTGCCTCTGCACACGCGTTCACCAAATGATAAGGTTGTAAACCACAAGTAGGCGGACCCTCCAAATCAAAGACATGGCACAACGAACGAAGAGAAATTGAAGCCAGATGTTGGACATTATAGACTATAGAACTGGTGGTTCCTGCATCTCACAGATCCTCATGTTTTCTATGCCATATATATGGTGATGAATATAAAAAAAAAACAAATGGAAAAGGATTTCACTGACAAACAGACACAAACCTACATTAATATTTAATACAGAACAAGAGAGGCAGTTTTTGTCATCAAGACAAATGACAAACATCTTCTATATGAGATCTCAGTGGAAGGTGGAACATGAAGCACAATCTGACATTCAAACAAAGGAAAGGGAAAATGTGGGGCCCTTTCAACAGTAATGTTATTTTAGTGGCTTATCTTAATAGCCAAGGTCAAGTCTATTGTGCTTTGATTAAAAAAAACATATACTTTCCCAGTTAATATTAACTCTTTTGCATGCCATTTTAACTTAGTATCATGTTCATTTGACAGATTTTTTCATTTTACAAAATCCATTGCTAAACTCTCAAAATAACCCAACAGCTCTGATGAACCTTTTCAGTATATCGGAGAGCTTCAGCAGTTAAGTATTTGGTCCATTTCATTATTGCTAGTGTGAATTTAATGCTCAAATCATTCAGGTTAATAACGACCACTTGCCAAGTCTTTACTGTGAAGCACAGATGGAGTGAAGCCTGTGCAGCTAGTACACACAAACAACTTGAGTCATGCTACTACCCACCAGATCAGCCTACTCACATATCCAACACCCCACTCGCCCCACTATTGAGGCTGACAGTGCACATGGCTACTTCTGCACTGCATGCAACTGCTACTACTAAATACACTACTACTCCTTACATTTAGCTAGAATGTATCAAATGACAATAATCTAAACCAAACTGAACATACTTATATCACACATATAAGTGTCACGGGTTCAGGTTTTGGAGGACTCAGACACAGGTAAAAGTTCAAAACAGTTCACCTTTGTTATGGCTCTGCAAGCTGAAGCCGACAAGGACAGCCAGACTAACCAGAAAAATGGAGCAGGTATGCAAATCAGGCAAGCAAGGCTCGACTGCTACAGCATAGGACACAAAGTAGAAAATCTGGCAGGGAATGAGTGGAAATGGGCCAGTGCAAATACTAAGAGCTGATTAGGGAAGTGGGAACAGGTGAGTAGGTTGGTGGGGAGGAGTCGGGTTGCTGAAAAGCGGGAAAGCAGGGGGTTATTACACGGTGGGGGGGTGACAGGGTCTCAAATGACAGGAGAGTTAATGATATGGAAGAGGCATATTAGTAAATTCCCACATTTTCCCACCTCCACCTCCACTCCAACAACCACCTGCAGATCGTTTCCCTTTGGCAGAGAAAGTCTTATCATTTCATCACACAGTCTTTCTCATAAGAAGAAATAAGCGGAGTTTTGTTACGGTTTCATACAGGAGGGTGATGGAGAGATTTCTTAACCCTTCTCCATGAATTGAATAAAATAGTGATTAATCTCAGCCAGTGCAGGGAGGCTGAGAGGGTCAGTAGGACTCTGATTCACGCTTTCAGCTGTGATGCCAAACTTTATGACATAACAAACACAACATAGGCATTATGTAACCGCTCTGCATCTCACCACAGCCTCCACAATCAAATCTGACAGTGATAAATGCGATGTTCAGACCTCCTCCATTGCACTGCATCATTAGGGAGTATTCAGAGCTGATCTAACAGGGAGGCTGCGATGGTGTGCCTCACTGGGCTTTTTGCAGCTATTTTAGCTGTTATTGGGGACAGAGTCAAACTTTGTCCCAAAGTTCTCCAAAAGGCGAAAAAACACGCAGGACAGTACAAAACAAAGTGTTGCTTGGACAGCTGCTGTCAGTTTTTGTTTTCTCTTTTCTTCTCCTAGCAGTGATGACATATGAGTGCCAGGATAGATTTGAACTCATGACATAGTGGCTTATTAGTATGTGCCTTAGCCAACTGAGCCACTAGGGAACCTCTGTTTATCCCTGTGTGGGGGACAGCTGAGACAGGCTCTCAATGAGCTATGTTTCCACACAAGGCGCAATTGGCTTAACCAGTTCCATTTAAAATATAATTATCATTGTGTCATTACACAAATGGGACAAATGTTGCTTCTGTTTCTTCTGTTGTTTGCTATGGTTTAAATTTAGATTATACAAGAAGTAAACAACAAGTAAAACAACTGCGGCTGCAGCTGTAATGACAGTTTCTTTCTACGACTGTATTTACGTCGGTGGTTTCTTTTCTGATCGGTTTTGGTCACCAGGGAGCTAATTAGGTGTCAAGTGTTACCAGATTGGGTAGCTTTCCAAATACTTTTTAATTGATTAGATGAGTAAAACTTGTTTTGTGTTTTTACCATTTGGATGTTTTTCCCTCAAAACAAAAATCTTATTACAACAAAAGTGGTCCGTTCTTCTCTTTCCAAGTAATAGTGTGATTGAAACACGGTACTTCATCGCTGAAACTTTTCTCCTATTTAAATTATTATTCAGTCATAGATCTGTGATAACATATTTTGAAAAGCTTACACATGTTCATATAAGTTAAGATTTGAAACATTTAATGTAATGTTATAAAAAAGGCTCTTTTTGTGACCGGGGATATCCCGCAAATATATATTAAATAAACAAAATACAAACAAAACAAAGCTAAACAAAGATAATTGGCTAGTTTTATGGCCTCTTGGTGACTTTGATTGTACACTGTAGTGGTTTGTGCTGCTTTGGATTGTGCTGAAGCCATTTTCTTATTTGTTCATTTTTTGACCCTGGTAAGATCTCAGTGACAATTCAGTACATAATGTACATGTATATTATCCTTCAGTACAGTATCTAAGGTAGCACTTCTGCGTGGTTCTGTGTTTTTGCTCTCCCAGTGGGAAAACAATGACTCATGGCGGCTCAACAATTCTGCCTTGGGCTGCAGTGTAGTCGAGGTAAATTTATCTGTTCAGAAACACGGACTTTTTTGACATCTTTCGCGGATACGATGGTTTGTTACTGTATAACAGCAACGATAAAATTCAACTGTTTCTACGATTTGAATGGTAAAAGCAATCACATGAAGTAGCACAAGTTTTTATCATTAACCTGTATTTATGATTGTTGTCAGGTGACTTCATGAGCATAAAACAAAGATTTGATGGTGGAAAGGTGGAACGTACAGTATGAGCAAATTTACTATTTTATATTCATGCAATCATCTGACAAAAGAAATGGAAATAAGTCAACAGGAAGCCCTGTAGATGACACATATTTTCCTACACTAAAACATAACAGAGGGGACAGAACTGAGCTTCAGGCTACTGAGATGAGGCTGTGTGTGCTGTTATGTCTGCCACAACATCTCTACATCCAACTACACTTATTACCAAATGAAGACTATAATGCCAAAACTGGTTGTTGTCCAATTCAAAGTGAGAGGAGGAGAGAATTTCCTTTTCTTTATGTGTGTTTAAGCTTTGGTCTCACTATTGTTGTTCTTTCCATTTGAACCATCCACTTTCTTTCTGGTAGACTTTAGTCTCATCCAGAATCCAGCTGAAAAAAGTTGCAATATCTACCATGAGACTGCTTTGACCTCTGACTCTTGACTTCTTTACTAGTGTATATGTTGCCTTTTCGTCTTTTTCGTTAAATTTATTATTTGTCATTGTCCATAAAAGACTTATATAATATATATATATATATAATATATATAGAAATATAATAAAACAAAAAAATGTTAAAAGAAAAAAACTGTTTCACACACACGTTCAGTCCACCATAAAAGAGATAAGTTCATTATAAGGTGGTTTTTGGCGATTGTACGATTCAGTAAATGAAAGAAAAGTCAGCTGAAGAGAATCCTTAGAGATGTAATTAAAATGGTTGGGATGTTTTAATAGGTCTCTTGGGATTTCTTGGCTGATTCTGATTTTTCTTTGTTCAACCAAATTTTAGTTTTCAACCTTGTGTAGGTCTCTGAAACCTGCACACAGATAGTGCATCTGAGTAATTAAGCGGATTGACAAACCTCAGATAAAACAACTGATTACTTAAGAAGGAAAATCTGAAAAATACTTGCTTGTAAATGTTTGGAGGGTTAAGAAGAATATGATTTAAATTCAAGTATGATGGCTTGATGTGTGACTGTAAGTAGACTTGTTTTGCAAAGGTATTTAATTATTTATAGGCAAGTGTAAATAACCTTAATCTTAATCTTTGTTTCTTCGAAGGTAACATCATCGGCTCTGGGATCTTCATCTCTCCTAAAGGAGTGTTGGAGCATGCAGGCTCAGTGGGGCTGTCACTCATCGTCTGGGTTTGCGGAGGGGGGATATGTACCCTCGGGTCCATGTGCTATGCTGAACTGGGTGTCACTATCCCAAAGTCTGGAGGAGACTATTCATACGTGACAGAAATCTTTGGAGGGCTGGTGGGGTAAGCACTGTTTTTGTCCAGTCCATTTTTTAACACAACGATCTTCGGCCTTTCAGCACTTGAACTAACGTGGTATGAATGATACTGCCAACAGTCCAGGGTCCATACACAAGAGGGTTGCTTTAATAGGACTGGCTGTCTGGAACCAATCAGCTCTGAAGGTCTTGTGACTTTCATGTGGTCATGTGACATGTCAGCTGATCACAGAGTGTTACTGTAAGTCTGGGAAGGTCAAACATGCACTGCAGTGTGCATGCCTGTGGAGGCACTAGTTTGGCCCTGTGTGGCTTTGTTTAGCTCATTTGTTTACACGTGTAAAACGGGGCAAATTCAAAGTGCCACATCAAAAGAACCAGAAAGAACCAGGAAATAATATAAAAAAATGCAACAGCAACAGGGATGATGTGAAACACATATCTGTGAAACCATCAACAAACAGACAAACCACATTTTCCGTTCAATGACATCTTCTCTCCCTTCTATGTGGTAGTACATTACAACAACATCAAGCTCTCTTTTTCTCAGCATTAACTATGGCCAGCAGTAGGTAGAACCAAAGAACAATAACCTCACCTTCCCAACACTAATACTTTTTTATAAGACTCAGTTTAAAATCCTACAAACCCCTACTCTAGCAGATCATGTGAATATTTTGTGTTGGTTATGGATTTATCCATTATTATATTACAAAAAGAAGCCAAAGGTCACAGGAGAGGTCAAAAGTCGCAGTGTCATTGACAGTAAGACGAGGCATACTCTAGTCTGGTTGCTACGACGGTGTCCACTGTCTGTCTCCTCCTGCCATCCTATAACTAATGCAAAGATGCCCTTTAGCAAGCAAACTATGGTTGTACTGGCCAGTGCTCATCAGACTGTAATAGAAAAATAGTGGAGAGGGCCCTTTCCCTGTCAAAGTAACAGTAAACACACAACAGTGCGTAGTGTGCAGTGTGACTTCTCCATGTAAATCTCAATAATAATAAAAAAAAAATGTATGTGTTAAGGAATGTTAATTTTCATGTAGGAAGTCTAGTGTCTCCTCTTTGTCCCTGTTTCCTGAAGCTTCCTGTTATTGTGGAGCGCCGTCCTCATCATGTACCCAACCACACTGGCTGTCATCGCACTCACCTTCTCCAATTATGTCCTGCAACCAGCCTTCCAGGACTGCCTGCCTCCATACATTGCCACCAGACTCCTCGCCACCATCTGCATCTGTGAGTCACAAACAACCAGAAACCCCGTGAAACTTCTTTTTAGTTTCAGTCATGAATAGTCTATGAAGTTTGTGCTTTTCTATAATTGGTCTGAACTGCGCTTCCTAGAGATCATCTGTGAATCAGTGTATCACAGCCTCACAAGCCTTTTCCCTCTGATTATCTATTGATGAAGCTTGAGTTTCCACAGGTGGCGCTCTTTTCTTTCTGTTCAACCAGGGTAAGTACTGCTGCTAATGCTAATCACAACAGGAGTTCTTTTGTTAATCCTATACAAACGGAGAGTTAAAACACATGAAGTCCTGTGCAGTGGAGGATTTTTCCAGGCAAAGGCCAGGAGACACTGGATGCCTCTTTTCATTAAATTTAAAATCAGATGCCAAAGAGTGACTGAATTTCAAGTAGGAAACCTTGGCAGGACTTCCTTCCCTGTGACATTTCTGAAATGCGGTCAGTCATTTTGTGCCATATCAACACAGTAGTACTCACTCTACATTCTATGCAACATCACATGTCCTGAAAGTTGTGAAAGGAGAGGAGCTGTCACTGTTATGCACAAGAGTTCGTTATACAACCTGACAGCTGGAAATGTTTGACCTTTCACCTCAGGAATGCAGCATTATGGTGTAGGTACATTCATTATTGTGTTACGTCTGTGATGGGGAGAGGCACAGCAAACAATGTCAGGAATTATTCAATTAATGTCTTAACCAAAGATCTGTGAGACTAATGAAGTCTAAACTCATCAATGTTGTTGATGGGTTGGGCACTTTTGGCTGATATGCTGTATATTTATTATTTATATTACTATATACATATACATTTTGTGTTGTCAGGGAGTTGTCAAGACTCAATGAAGTCACCGTTCCTGGCCAAGGATTATTTGACACATTGCACCATGTTAAACTACAACTAGCTTTTTTCACTTCAGTTTTTGTACAAATAAAAACAGGTTAGATGTATTGTGTTAAAGAGTGAGCTAGAGGCATATTTTGTTACCTCTGGACTAAGGGGTGGGTGATCTGACAAGCTTATTTCATGGACGAGCTATATTGAGATATATCATTTTAAAAGTTCGTTAACTGATAACCGGCCCATTGTTAACCGTTAAACTGCTAACTGCAGCTGGTAGCTCTGTAGCTTCAGTCCAAGGCGGCCAAAACTATTGTATTTTGGCCAGGTCACCCACCCAGACTTGGGGCAGAGCCAGTCAAGGTGTTTATCAGTTTCCAGTCTTTATGCAAAGCTAAGCTAACCATGTCCTGGTGGCTGTTTAATCTTTTAAGGGCAGATATTGTAAGAGTGGTAACGACTGTCTAATCGAACTCTTGGTAAGAAAGCATATTTCCTAAAACGTTGAACTTTTTCTTTAAACAAAAAATTATAGCACAGAACAGTAAAACCTTTGACATGTCTGTGATGATGTAAAATGTTAATAACAGGTCTGGTGTCTGGTGTTGTTAGACAGCAACTGGCAGAAGCTCAACGTTTCCAAACTGACAAGTTGGTTGATGGCTGAAATCTTGGCCAGGTTTTGACAGGTTGACTTTTCTTGACTGAAGAAAGTTTGCATCAACAGAGGAGGAATTGTTGATGGATTTGTTGGTAGTCTGTGGAGGTTACATTTCTCTTTGGCTGCTTGCTGCCACTCTGGCCTCTGTCATCATGACATCTTGGTTCACAGTATCACACTACAGACTTGATGTTGCTTTCGACATTCAGGTCGCCTGATTGTATGACCCTGAGGGACTTGCAGTGAGGTAACATTAGAGCAAACATCCTTTCCTAGAGCAGCATTACAAGCAACTGATCTTCAGGTCTAGGGTGAAAGGTCAGAGCAAACTTACATTTCATTTAAGCAATACTGATTGAACATTGCATGTGCTCAAGGAACAAATGAGACAAAGATGAAGGCAGGAGTCAATGTCTTTACATCCAGCTGGAAAAACTGAAGCACCCAGTGCCTAAGGCGTCTTCCACCCTGTTCCCACCTGGCTCTATGAACATACAAGGAAAAGGCCATAAAACCACAAAGGGTTAATCAAACTCTTCAAACCAGATCCAGCTACTTTAATCTCATGGCTTGAAGATATTATAATACTGTGATGGTCGGCCGTGATGACGGCTGCCACTGTCATTTGATAATTCCTGATGAAACGCTGTGCTCTGTTTCCAGCCTCTGATCTGCGCCTTTCCTTGAAACGTTGGATTGCGACAATATGTATTTAAATAGCCAGTGGCAAAAGCAGACTCGGTATATCTGGTTGACCAGCCAGCTGGTTTGGTCTTGTCTGGACTGGATGGAGAAAGGGAAAGACAGAGGAGGCTTGGCTATCTGTGAGGGAGCGTGCATGTGTCAGGCTGGGGTTAGCATTTACGGAGCGCACCTCCACTATTTTTGGAAACAGAATGTTACAAGTGCTGCCTAGTGAGTGAGTGTGTTTATGTGTTGTGCTCTTGAGTGTGGTACGAGTTTTTGTGTGTATGTGTGTCAGTATCAGTGTCAGACTACATAATGGTGCCAGCCTCTGAGGACGCCGCTAATGAGAGGGTGTGTCTACGCCATTGTGCATTGTTTCACAGTGGTTACCGTGACGCTCCTGTCACTGAGCACCATGGAAACAGGAAATGGGCAGGACACCTTGCACATCAATGATGGGGGATCCAATTGGCCAGATGACATTCTGGTTGGCTGTTTGATTTTCCTATTGGCTGTTTGGTACCACCCCCATCCTCCTCTCTGGTCCACAGCATCACACTTCAGACCTACAGTCACAGGGACTTTGTAGTCGTCCATCTGTGATCAGCAGTTACGTCAGCTCCAGTCTTTATGTCTGAACCTTTGAGTGAGTTATGAAAGTGTCAGGTTCCACAGCACTCTGACAAAGATGGAGAAGAATAATGGATGAGAGAACTTGATGTTAAAAGTTTGATAAGTATTTTCACTGTCGCTCCATCACCCTCAAACACCACAAGAAGGTTCATGGAAGGGAGACGTGTCACTCCTCCAAAAACTAGTGGTGTAAATAATAAACTTTTAGTCAGCTCACTATGCTACCATGTGGGAATAATTATTGTAATCCCCACCAACAGCCTTTTCTGAGCGCAGAGGATGGACTGCTATTTACATTCAGGTCGTGCATTCTTTTAGCCTGAGGTTTACACAGCGCTGTATGCAGTGAGTCGCTCTGCAGTTGTGTTCATCATAAATGCTTCTAAACAAATTCAGGACCATGAACCAAGCTCCATAAACTGACCCACAGAAGATAAAACCTGTCAAATCGTTCATAACCTGCCCACAGGGCATTAGCAAAACTGGAGATCAGTATTAAGTCATTTTAGGAAAGTTGAGTATCTTGGCTGTCAAAGATAAAATGTAAACTTTTTTCAGCACTTTGAGGACAATGTTTTTCTGAAACACTCGAGGAGATTAACTGGATTAAATGTTGTTCTGCACTGCTGAGTCTTACTGAAGCCCCTGTTATGTCAACTGAACTTTTCTCAGTTAAGGGTTTATGAATGTGAGTCAGCCTAGATATGTGTCCCCTCTCCTTCCTCCCCTGCAGAGTGTACTGCGTGAGAGTCACAAGTGACCGAGGGGGGTGTGTGTGTGTGTGTGTGTGTGTGTGTGTGTGTGTGTGTGTGTGTGTGTGTGTGTGTGTTTGTGTGTGTGTGTGTGTGTGTGTGTGTGTGAGTGCGAAAACCAGACAGGTCCAGTTGTGGGCTGGTTGTGTTCATCTAAGAATAGGAGCACTGGACAGCACAGAGAAGCACAGTAATATCTCTAGAACACCCATTACAGGAGATTAACTGTAAACCCATTTTTACTTTGTCAAATATTCATCACTTGTTCCAGACAGTGAACAATAAGCAATAAAAAAAAATGTATTATTTCTTGAAATTATGAAAGATTGCGGACAGTTTCACTGACCCGAGCATCATAAAATTCACATCATAACCGACAATCACCAGAAATGTGATGTTTTTCAAAGCCGGAGGGATACACAACTCAACCCTCACTTAGTCATACAGCAATATCAGCTTCTGTTGTTCATTCCAGCGCAGCACGGTGCTGATTTCAGTCAGCACAAGTCTTTACCACGTCAGTGTTGTGGTGCAGCAGTGGTAGAAAGAGAGGGAGTAGTAGTATGTTTCAGCCAATCAGATGTTATATCTCTCCCACTGGTTTGGAAGGATGTCTTTGACATATTCCACAAAACAAACCTCATTACCCATTTCAGTTTAATTTTAATTGATATGAATAAAGATCACATGATATAACGCACTTTAATTTTCAAATTTAGTTAGCATATTATATGCCAATTTAAAAGTAAGGACATGCGACAAAGGTCCTCTGCTGTCTGTGAACTTGGAGAGGCTGTGGTTCATGGCTGGCACTTTAACCCCTTGACCTGCAGAGAGCCCTACATTGGAAAACCTTTTTTTATGGATTCTGGTCACTGTACTTTAAATTTCTTTTTTCTTTTTTACTGGAAAAAATGTTTCCATTTACAAAAACTTTTATTTTGTAGTTTTGATTTGCTTCGAAAAGATATTCAAAAAAGCTGAGTGCACATAACAGGCACACAGTGTGTCATATCATTCCTCTGTGCCTTAAGTTGTGCCGTTGTTCTACCTTTTATGGGTGTTTGAAAAAGAACTACAAAATAACTATAGGTACAGCATAGACACGAAGGAAGCAATGTGCAGTATGCAGGCTAAGAACAGATACAGAGATCATGTGCAAATAAATTTTTAGTGTGTAGGAGTGATTTAAATTTAACGTTGGCAGATTCCCATGACCATGCCGGACTTGTTATATCAAGAGCTGCACCAAACTCATTTAGAGTTTGATTGAGGGATCATGATCAGTCACCAGACTAAAAGCTACAATTGCTCTGCAGATGGAAAAACCGGAGTGATTCATTGAAAAAAAAAAAAGAACAAAAAGTGACTCTGGGGGTAAGGATGACCTGAGGTCGTCACATAATGCACATAGAGCTTTGAATCTCTTCAGCATCTTTGCATCTTTTGCCTCTGTCATGGCAAAACAAAAAAAATAAAAAAGTGAATACTACCTGTACCTTGTATGAAAGAGTGTCGCTTTTGTAGCGCCTGCCTGTTATTCATAGACATGTCTACACACAGCTCTGTGAGATGTCTGTTCCTGTCATTCAGGAATTACTGTTGGAATTGCACTCTTTCTGCTGTTGCAACAAGTGGACACTCTGGTTTAGTTAATGCACCAGAGGAAAACTGTAAAACACAAATAAGCCACAAGTCAAAAGACTGTTAGTTTATATATTATGTATCTGTGATATTCTCATTAGGTGATTTATTTAGTCTTCATATTTGCTATATTGATTATAAAAAAAAAATAAAACTATGGTAATAGAGATTTTTCAAAGATGAATTTTTGTTACTTTTTCAAATCCACTCTGATCTACATTATTTGAAATGTATACTTTTGTGCTTACACATCTATCTGCAGGTCTGTGCAGTCTCAGCTAGATCTACTTTAAATAAGAGAGTTGAAGTGCGACTGGGAATCAAATACTAGCTTTCCTTTTATTTACCCCTATTCTTTAATCATACTGTACTGTGTTAGTTGTCAGCATGTCTCTGCATTATTTCATCCAGACTAAATCAAGTACATTTACTGTAGTCTGAGGGGATTCTGGTGTCAGATACCTTGTGGTGGACAGACAGGACTGGGAGGTTACTGCCAGTTCAGTGACTCCAGGGATCAGATCCTGGACCAGAAGGAGGCGTTCCTGAGATTGAAGCCCCCTGATAAATCTGCACTGAGTTGGGATCAGAATCCATTAAAAGTAAAAGCAGCAATAAGTTTAGTATTCTAGTGCTGAGGCAGCCTTCAATAGAAATCGTGATGGCAGGACACAGATTTACCTGCGCTGACACATTCAAAGCCTGCTGGCACCTCCTTCCTGTCAGGGTTAACACAGAGGGAAGCTGGGGGAGATGGTGGGGGGTTCCACAGGAACGGAAATGCATGTAACACTCCTCGGGTAATGGACTATAAAACACAGTGGTGTTGTAGGGGAGAGAAAGCTCTGCCCGGTGCCACCGAAACCTCCTGCCAAAAATTCACACGTGTGTGTATGTGAGTGTGCCCGTGCCAGCGGAAGCAGTTTGTTTAGATTTCTGTGGTGGGAGGGGAACCCGGTGATGGATGACATGGTTGATAACACCCCCGCCCATATATGCTCTCACACACACACACACACACACACACACACACACACACACACACACACACACACACACAGCTGTGCTGTTCCTGCAAGAGAGTGTGTTTGTGTGTAACAGTAAGGAGGAGTGAAAGGTCAGGAGGAAGACTAAGAAATATAAAGATTTGATAAGATAAAGAGAAAGAAACAAGACAAAAGACAAGATACACAAAACTGAGAGGCAAGAGAATGGGTAATGAAAGATGGAGAGTCCGGACAATCTTGCTCACACACAAACTTCGTTCTAAACCACTTCCTAATCTCTGAGTGCCTGTGAAGCAGGAGCAATGGTCAGTGAATGGAGAAAGGCCAGAGCAGGGGTTTATAAGAATTATGTAAATTCCACCCCCTTTAAGGCACATTCAGCTTTCACAGATTTCCTGTTGATATGGTACGTCACTGATTAGATGAGAAAATAGTGGGTATACATTGATATCCCTTTTATGGACACGCCCCATCCCCACCACTGAGTGGCAAAGCAAGCCAACAGGACGCTGCTGTGAATGAAGAGAGCTATGATACAGAGAGGAAGATGAAGATGAAGAACATGAGTACTGAGTACTCAAGTAATAATGTAGTAATGACTACGGAGTACTCATGGGTTGGAACGTCAACATGTTGACAGCTGTCGCAGCTGGTGTGATCCCATCACAAGATGGTCTCTAGTTGTTACACTGAACAAAGCCTAAAAGACACACAGACACCAGGTCCAGTTTTATATCAGGCTTTTAAGGGATTGTGGTTGGCTATAACTTGGAAGAAATTATGTTAAATTTAGAAAGCCAAGTGATCGATTATGTTGACACCACAAGTGTAATACACTGGATGAAAACCCATTTTGACAGACTGGGACATGGGAAGAACCTCCACTAAAACCTATAGTTGGTTCATTCACAGTATTTCATTGTTTATTAATATGATATTCTTTGTGCATAAAATATGATAATTAACTGACAGATCTATTGAAGGGCTCTTCAGGCAGAACATCATGTATTTAATATCTTCCGCTGTTTATTTAACCCTGTATGTACTATACCCTTTATGTGACAGTATTTAATTTAGAGTTCTGCCACATAGGAAATGTCCAAAAAAAAGGTTTGACTTAGCAAGAACTATAAGAGAAATGTAACAAGGTGCATGTGTGAAAGGGGCTCATAAAATATAACATAACTTCATATTTGTATTTATGGTATATTGTTTCAGACTCATGTGTGGTATTATGTGTACAAGAGAGCACACCTCACACTTACACCACACAAAAGTTTTCTCTCATTCTTTCTCTGTGCTAGCCAACTCACAATTCCTGTTGGGTTTAGGTCTCATTTGTAAGCTGGCACTTTAGTTTGAGGGCAACTGGAGAGCCACTTGCACTTGCTCCATTTGGCTCACTTGGAATTCGGCCAGCCCTTGTTATGGTGGCACTTGCAAACACGCAAAACTGAGGGTCAGTGTGAAGGACAATGGCTTAGGGAGCAGTGTGTGGGGTAGAGGCGCATATATATACACACACACACACACACACACACACACACACACACACACACACACACACACACACACACTGCAAGTAGGAAACAGGAGGTAGGAAGTGCTCAGCTGCATAGACTTCTGTCTGTGTGCTGACAAAAGGAATGTGAAGTCTGTGAGACCAACCTTACACTTTCACATAAATATGAATGAGGCACCACAATACATGTTATCCGTGTGAACTGTCACAGGCATATACCGTATGTTTATAGTGACAACACAAATGTATTAATATACTGCCAACAATGATACCTGTATATGGAGATTGAATGTGGGAGTTATTAGAATCAGAAATCTCAAAAACAAGATGGGTATACAGTGACTGTGTTTAAGATCTGCTTCAGTCGTTGCTCTGTAAGTGCAGCATAATTTATTATTTTTTTGAAATGGGGAATAATTACCTTAATAAAAAAGACATTAAAGTTTTGCTTTTGAATTACTTATTGCTTATCCATGTATCTTTCCATTAAACAGGCAATCAACTGGTCCCTGGTGTAATTACTGCAATCCTGGAGTTGCTGCGCAACAGTACTGTTGCTGAATGATAACATTCAAAAAAAGGAGCCGAAGAAGTAATTTCACAGTGAAAAAACAGACCAGAACACTCTCTACCAGCATGTTTAGAGAGGGCAAAGATTAAATAAATTACTAGTAAAATTTTAAACAAGTATGGCAAAAAGAAAAAAGCGAATACGTTGGAAAAATAAGAAAACTAACAGGAGTAACTGCAACAGGCTGCATACACGTCAGCGCATGCACACAAAAAACATTTTGTTTAAGGACAGCACTAAGAAAGAGTGCTGATATTGACCTTATCATTAGAGCTCATCATTAGATAAGGTCATTATTACTGCTGAAACCAATCTAGTGTATTGGAGACTACAAGTTTAACCAATCTAAAGTTTAACCATGCTAAAATTGTCCTCGTCCTTCAACACAGAAAGTACTTTCAGTGCCCTCATTGAGCTGAAGCTAGTGTCCTGCACAAAATGTCACCACACTGTGAAACCTTAGAAATCAAAATGGTTAACATTTACTCTCTCAGACATCCCTCAGTTTAATGTTTGCTTTCCTGCCTATACATTTGTACAGTGCATTCAGAAGGTGTTCAGACGTTTTCAGACTGTCACTTTTTATTCCAAATTTTAATATTCGTTTTAACGTGGGATGAAAAGTTCATATTCATGCTGTAATGACCTGTTCGAAATGTAGGCTGCAGTCTCTACAAGCGCTTCAGACCATCGCAGGTCAATAAAAAGAGAGCCGAACTTGATGCGGATCATGTTGATAGACATGTTTCTGGCAAATAATATGAGAAATTAGGTCGGACCGTTTGGCTTGACTATCGGTTCCATATTTTACCTTGCTACATTTTTAGTTCAAAGGCGTCTGAGCTCCCGCCTGTTGTCTGTGTGTTGTATGTTATTGTAGCACTTTGAGACTCCTGAGTTTCACTGAATGAAAAGTACGGCGCATTTTTTACAAACGTCTTATTGAGAGCAAGGTAGAAGTGACAAGCATAAAGAAAACGATGAGTTAATACAGCCGTTAAAAATGTAACATTTGATTGCTGGACGAATGGTAATAAGGTAATGTAAAAATGTGGAGATGGGAGAACTTTCAGGCTCAGGCTTCAGTAGTCAGAGCAATTGATGCCATCAACACAGAGCTGAACTTCCGACTGATTGTAACTCGATGCTTTATGTTAAAAAAATAACCCTGCTGCTTTTCCCTTGAGGTTAAGGTTTACTTCATGTGTATTTATTTTCTCCCTTTTGTATTTGTGTGTGTGCGCAGTATTCCTGACCTGGGTGAACTGCTCCAGTGTGCGCTGGGCAACGAGGATACAGGATGTTTTCACTGTAGGAAAACTCCTCGCTCTGGCACTCATCATAGTGGTAGGACTCATCCAAATCTGTAGAGGTAAACACACACACACACACACACACACACACACACACACACACACACACACTGGTGAGACTATTCCTCTAAATGACAGAAATGGTTTAAAATTTAACTACCCATAGCAAGATAAAGAAAAAGAATTTCAAAATGTTGTGTGACTAGCAAGAAACATTGTTGATAATTTAACAAATACTGATAGATAATAGCAAAACAATATACAGAGCTAATAAAAAAATCCCCCTACAACAGAGCAGAACTATGATAAAGTTCAGCAGTAAAACCAAATAAAATGCATGTAATGTGAACAATGTATACAATGAGATCAAAAAAGGAACTACTAATGAGATAATGACAAATAGTGAAAAAAAGATTTAATATTTTTGGTAGAAGTCATTTAAATCTGTAATGAAGATGAGGTAATACTGTTTGACACTGTTAAACCTCAGTACTCCTATGCTGTTATTCTCAGTATGATGTGAAGCCATTAAACTGTGGATTTTATAATTTACTCTACTACTAGATATGAGCCAAACAAGGCAACGATCTTTTCACTGCTTTTCTCTCACCTGCCTCCAGGTCACTATGATGCCCTGAGGCCCAGTGCGGCCTTTGAGTTTCGTCAGGACCCGTCAGTGGGGCAGATAGCTCTGGCCTTCCTCCAGGCTTCCTTTGCCTACAGCGGCTGGAATTTCCTCAACTATGTCACAGAGGAGGTCGTGGAGCCGCGCAAGTACGGCACACACAAGAATACACAGAGTATTTCATATTCAGTTTTTCATAAGCTAATATACAGTAGATACAACATTGGTCTATTTAATTACACCCACATCTACACTGTGAAACATAATGTCACCTCACTTACTTAGTTCAGAATTATATGAGTAGTTTTAATTCTCAACTATTTTCTTTATTATATTTTTACATGTCTTTAATGCTGCTAATCCTGCAGCAACTATTTTGTAAAGCTGAAACAACATTTGAAGTATCCTTACTTAAACTGTTGTTATTTTTCTTATAATGAGGAACCTGCCTCGTGCCATCTACATTTCCATCCCACTGGTGACCCTGGTCTACACTATGACCAACATTGCCTACTTCTCCTCCATGACCCCTGAGGAGCTGCTGGCCTCCAATGCTGTGGCAGTGGTAAGCACCTCTCAATCTCCATGAATGGATGTTTCATATACAGCAGTTTATATACATCTTAACAAGAGGCACATTTGTATAGAAACATATAACATCTGACAGCCTTTTGAAGCTGAGAATCATAGGATGAGACAGTACCTCAATCAGCAATTTAACCGATTAGTCAATAAGATAAAAGTTTTTTTAATGTCCAAGAGGTAAAAGAGTCATATGGGTTAGCAGTCATATTAGGGAAGTCTGTGAGTACCTTAGTCTGGCAGACTGGAAATATGAGTTGTGTCCTGTTTCAGAAAATATCTGAACAATTTTCTCCGTCACACACTCAAACTTTGTATGTGCAGCCACAGTCTGATATAGCTATACAGGGTGTTCAAAATAGACCTCCCATCTCTTAGTGAAATTAATCATGAAACAATTAATGGTTGGAAAATCTGACCCATTATTCACTGTGTTGTTCCAGACATTCGGGGAAAAGCTGCTGGGGATGTTTTCCTGGGTGATGCCAATCTCTGTAGCACTGTCCACCTTTGGAGGGATCAACGGATATCTGTTTACCTCCTCCAGGTAGAACACGCCCACACTTTGCTTTGGCGTATACTACATGCTAAACCTTTAAATGTCATTTTATGACTGGCTATTGTGTCCTCAAATAAAACTAAGGGTGATCGGAGTTACTCCTAGCATATACAGTAAACCTGCCCATACGCACATCCAAAAATGTGTCTGTCTATTTGTAGATTGTGTTTCTCGGGGGCCAGAGAGGGTCATCTGCCCTATCTGCTGGCTATGATCCACCTAAAGAACTGCACTCCAATCCCTGCCCTGCTTGTCTGTGTAAGTACTACACTGCCCGTTTTGTCTACTTTGTCAAGCTTCACAATGACACTGAGCAGACAGGGTGGCCACAGACAGCAGCAATACTCTACTGGAAAGTACCTACCTACTTGACCTTTTTGCCTGTGTTCATGTCCCACAGTGCACTGCCACAATAGTCATCCTGTGTATTGGAGAAATGCACAACCTGATCAACTATGTGTCCTTTATCAACTATCTGTCCTATGGGGTAACCATCGCTGGCCTCCTATACCTCCGCAAGAAGAGACCCAACCTAGCCAGACCCATCAAGGTACAGAAACATTTAACTCAGGGTATTTTTCCATGACCTTGTTGAAGACATAATATAATGTTGTTTAACCATCAAGTCACAGCTCTCTGCAGTTTACTGCATATTAACTAAACCAGTGCCTCCTTGCCAAAACTGTTCTGCTCATACAGTATATCTGCCACAATCTGCCCTCTGTGCTACTTCCTGTCTGGACTCTTTTTTTTTCCTGTATAATTTTGAAATTACTTAACCTCATGTGTCCATGGTTGTTTAACTTCCTGCCCCTGTGTGTTTCGCACCTTCGTGATTCCCTCCTCTGTCCTGTCCTGGTTAGTTTCACCCATGCACAATTATTCTTGCCTCCCTTGTGTATTTAGTCTCTATGTTCCCCTCACTCTTGTTCAGTCATTTACCTTTAAGCCTGTTTTTTCTTTATTAAAGTATCTTCACGGCATTGTCCTGCCTCTGGATCTTTGGGTTCCTTCCCTTGTGTTCCTGGTTTCAGCTGTGACAATATCCCCTTTTCATCTAATAATCTGTAATTAGGAAATCATAACATTTAATTTGTATTCTCAACATAAGTCCAAAGGGTGCGAGGGCGAAAGGTGAAATTTTCTTCCAAATGTGCATACAGTAATTCAATCATTTACTTATTGAGCATTACTGGCCACTAGCAGTGATAGTTAAAATGGCATTGGATTGTATGAAAACCTTACAGCTGTATATTAAACTCAGGATACAAAATGTAATGATAAGCTCACCTTTGCATGAATTACGTACTGACCATTTCCCTAAATGTCAACATTTACTACTCTTTGGGCCGCATTTTGTAACAAGGCAAACAAACAACAGAGGAGGGCAACGCTAGCATCATTTAGTTTCTAGTTTGAGCATTAAGCCAGCTGGGGGAGTCATTAGCAGGTGAAGCAGCTGTAGCCAATAAATGTTAATTAGCTACATTTCTACAAGCTGTGTTTCTAACATGCTCGGTCAGAGAAAATTAGCATTAACGCCACTCTGTCCCATCTACTATAGGCTCTGTCTTGGTCCACATCTGTTTGCAGCTAGCATTAGCTGGCCTCGTAACATCTGAAGAGGACACAACATGGGGCTTCACTGCTGTTCACGGCGTTTCAAATCTCCCCACCCAACATAAATAAACCCAACATAATGATATTGAAGCTTATCACCTCAGCTGAGCAGCAGTGTGTCGGTCTATGAAGCCAAACGTTAACTATTAGTTAATTAGTCACAGGAAACAGAGAGCTTTCAACAGGTTGATTGCATAACGTTATTGTCAGACATTAATTAGCGGCAGTTTGTCATTTACTGTCTTCATGGTCATGGATAGTATTGTGGCGCCCCCTTGTGTCTTAAAGCTCAAGTGATTTGTGTGTGATATGATGGGCAGAATACATGCAGTTTTTATTTGTCAAAATAATAAACATATAAACAATTGTCAATAATTTTGTCCCATTAATTGTTTAAATTATAGGCTATAGTACCCTGACACTATACTTGTATACGGTAGCCTATAGTATATACAGAAACATTGTGTTGAAATATGTCTGTTTTTGCAGGTCAACATGTTGATCCCCATCACCTACATGATTTTCTGGGCTGTGCTGCTGTGCTTTAGTCTGTACTCTGAGCCAGTGGTTTGTGGCCTGGGTATGGTCATCATGCTGACCGGAGTCCCTGTGTACTTTGTGGGGGTTAGGTGTAAGGACAAACCCAAATGGATCTACAGGCTAGTTGGTGAGTTGTCTGTGCCACTGTAGAGTACATAATCAAATGATATTTAAAAAATATATATTATAAAAAAGTATAATATGTTAGCAGTTGCTGAAATTAAAACACCTCTTGTTGTCTTTCGTATTGCAGAGAGACTCACATACATGGGCCAGAAAGTGTGTTATGTGGTGTTTCCTCAGGAAGACCCTTCAGAGACTGAACCACTCACTGCCTCCAAAGCCATTGACTGAGCAGTGCAGTCAACCAGGAATTCCCTTTTTACACCAACAACTGTACATCCAGTTTTTGCATTACAGTTTTTCATATTGTTTGGTCAGGTTGTGAATGGTGAAGAGATGGTTTTGCCTGTGTTCTCGCATAGGTGCAGCCCGAATGGGGCCGCAATTAAGTCCCAGTATAAAAGAAGTGGACCGTTATGTTTAGGGCATTAGCATGTTAAGCTCTAAAGCTGGGGCATGAGTTTTTATTTGTTGGTTTGGTAGTACTGTCCATCCATTCTCCTCACCAGTTTGCCAAGTTTTCTCTTTCATACAGATTTTCATCTCATCTTCTCCCTTCTACTCACTCAAGGATCTTCCATCTGCCATTTTCTGCTTCACCTCCAAGATCTTCATAGTAGTTTTATTACCTTAAATCTTTGTGCTAATGTGCCTTATGAAATGTATGTGTTGGTATATAGTATTGGTTTGTGCGGGTATTTTGAGTGCATAATAACTTTTATGAGGTAAATATGCAAGCAGTTTCTGCCCTTAGCAATATTTCTCTACTACTGCTGCTATCTCCAGCTCTGTTTCACTAATTGCTCACATGTTGTTTACTGTTTGTCAACTGTGGATGAGTAGTTTTCTGTCTGTACCTCTGCCTAGCTACAGTACCTGGCCATTCTTTTTACTTTACACCCCCTGTTCTCTCTTGTTATATCACTACTCTCTCTTGAGAGATACTGCAGGTGCCTTCATGTTGTCATTAGAGAGGTGTCGTCCACAATGACACTCATCTTTCCCAGCAATATTTACAGGACAGGAGAGACAGGAGGGTCACAGTTTGCGACTTCTGCTTGAAGAATGGTCAATTCTCTTTGCATTGTTACAACACGTGATGACAGGTTGTTCTTCCAGTTTTTAATGTTCACCAGTCTCTTTGGTCTCTGAGTGGAAGATGCAAGCCTCTGGCGCTTTGGAAACGATCGGATCTCTGGGAATGCCACTGTGAACTCTCACGAGGTGCTTGACCTGCCAAGACAGTTGTTAGATTTCCCATATCTCTCCTGCTGTTATGATACAGTACCTACCATAAACATGTTGTTGGGCAACATTAGCAGAAACCATATTTACAGATAGGTGGATGTTTGGCAGTGGATGTTTACTTGTGCATGGGCCCGCTCCCACTTCCCCAAAGACACATCAACACTGCAATAACCCCATGCCCAGTGACTTTTTATAGATAAACTGACTTATTGTGATACTATTGATATAAAGTGGTTGAAATAATCATAGTCCCATTGACCTGCATGACCACTTTCTGTTGTCCAGTTGACAATATATTGACTTATGGTAGGGTTATTATAAATTTAGTAAGGAGATCAATTTGACCAAAATAATTTGGAGTCAACTTAGTATTTCAGTTGGGTCATAATAACACAGTATGCTAATTTACTGTGGTCCCAGAGATATCGGTGTTGACATGTATTTGAGTAATCTCTTATAGTGCTTGGGTATGAGCTGTTTATGTTGTGCATAGAACAGAACATATGAAGGGTTGGCCTTTTTAACATAGTGTAAACCAGCAGGTTGACACTTTTCTAGGCCAGCAGGTGCTGGGAATTTGCCCCTGCTTCAAATCCACAGACGCACACTTATAACACGCATGTCTGTCCGCAATGTCCAGGCGTTGGTAGCTCAGTTGAGATCTGTAAATACTGTGTAAAGGAAAAAAAAACAAAAAAACACTGTTATAAATGCGCCACGGACTCCTACAAAGATCATTCCACAGACATGTTGTGATACATACTGTACAATTGATGGGTGTACCTCTGTGTTTTGTAAAAGAGTGTAAAGTTGTACAAGAATAACAATGTAATTGCTTATTAAATATAGCAAATTCTGAGAAGCATAACCTTTTTTGGGGTGAGGGGCAAGTTCATTCATTTTTATTTAATCAGGCAGTCTCATTGAGATTAAACTCTTTTCCAGGAGACCTGAGAACCATAAACAATCAAAAAACACAATAAAAAAAAGCAGGAGAATTACATAATACAAGAAACAAGGAATTAAGAAAAAAAGAAGATAATAAAGGTTCAAAATCTCCAAGGAAAATATAAGACTCTAGTTTGTAGGCAGTTTGCCAAATATTTGTAGGAATTAGCAAGAGCAATTTAAAAGGAAACACATCAGGAAGGTTTATTTAGTACTGACACCCTATGCTGCAGATAAAAGTCAACCAGAACTTGGTATCTGTGTCACAGTGTAGCCCGGACCACAAGGGAAGAAGTGCTCACACCAAAACCAGCAGATGCAGTTGAAAGATCGATTCAACAAAGGAAACGCTAGAAGCTTACTCAATGGTGCAGCCAACAAGGGCCAAAACTACAGCCTCAAAATATGGCAGGTTTAAAAATGCCAACAAGTCCATTCTCAGGCAGCAGGAAAGACAAAATCCAAGCTCAAAAGGTGGAAAAGTTCAAATTAACAGGCACCCGGGTCAAAACACAAAAAAGACACAGGAGGGAACATGGGAGAACTGAGCAGCACATTAGGGCAGAGCAGGTAATCACAGATGTGGGACACACACTGGGGAACAATAGACACATAAGAAAAGTAATTTCAAAACAAAACAGGAAATAACACAGAGTCCAGGAAGTATCACAGGGGCAGAGCATGACATTTTGGTCATTTCTCATACTCTACCTACCTAACACTGATTATTTGACTTTAGCGTTCAGTATCAGTATCCTGCCATAATAGAGGGATAATTCACTGATTTCAGCGCAAATTAAACAAATTTTATTTAAAAAAAGTCTTGCATACTCAAGGTGACCAGGTTTATATTCCTTATTCTTTGTTATACAGTATAGAGAACTAGTGGAACTAGTATAGATCTCCACTGACGACTGAAGAATAGAGGTCTTTACTTTAACGTCCTGTCAAAGTTCCACAGCACAGATGTGATTTTCCACTGAAATAAACCAGCAGTCCAGATGTCTGCTGTGGCCAGTGTGCAGTCAGCAGTACTGCAGAGGCACCACTGAAGAGGAGGACTCTACAAACAATCAGTCTTCTCAAGTGACTCTCTTTCTAACATTTATTGGATATGCACATAGATTCTTCACTGCACTGAATAAAAATCAGAGCGCACAGGTGGATTCATTCAAATGACGAAAGGCTGCATGGAGAGGACAGGTAGGGTTTGATTTAAGGAAGAGGAGGTGAACAGAGTAAGAGGATTCACTATAGGACTCACAGTCTCAGTTTCCATCCACATATAAGTTTTTAAAACTGATAATATATGATGAAAAAAACATTTTGCCAAGATAGATAGATAGATAGATAGATAGATAGATAGATAGATAGATAGATAGATAGATAGATAGATAGATAGATAGAATAGATAACAATAATAATAAAATAGCCTCAACGATACTAGTAAACAAATACACAGTCTTTATTTTTTTTACATTACAAGTGAATAACAGGTAAATTTCAGTTCACATTCCTTGATGGTGCTCTGATGATGGTTGCTAATGTAACCTATTTTAATTCATGCAATACAGTAATTTAGGCCTTCTGTAATCAGCTATATGTAACATAGTTATAGGCTTCATAGTCTAGACTTATACTGTAGGCCATAGTATATGGTGGACTTTAAACACAATGCTTATTTTTGATTCATTTCCAAACCAACGCAGGCTACTGTCATATTTTGCCACTAGACATGCACCAACAACGTGGGACTGAGGGATGAGGTGTTCATCAGGTCAGAAGCTGTTTGGTGCTGTTAAGCAAATGTTAGCAATACGCTACACTAAGGTAGAGAAATGATACACTGAAAACATCAGCATCTTAGCATTTCCAAACCAACTTAGGCAACTGTCATACTTCACCATAGACATGCACCAACGTGGCTGGAAACGCAGTCCTCCTTGAATCTAAGCAGTGAGTGATTATAAAAACAATGGCATATCAAATAAATGGAACCACTTTTGACGTCACCACGCAGAACACTGTCACGCAATATTGCATTTCATGTGTGCGGCTGGAACGCCATCAACATTCAAAATCCCGTTAAATTTTAATTTCAGCACCGACTCTCGTCCGGGTCACTGAAAGGATACACAAGAGGAATCGGTTACTTTCTCTTTAACCTTAGTCTTAAGTCTTGTAAAACTTAATACAACCATATTGGTAAAAACAGAAGAAATAATGTGTCATCTTTACTATTAACTCCTACTTACCCTCTGTTCACCACATGCCAATCTTAATGTTGGGTTTTGCTGTGGTGCCTTGCGTCACGCACAACTGGATTTAATTGTCCCAGTTCACTCACAGTGTTACACCCCACAAGACTGCATCCTCATGAATTCAACTCTAGATGAGTGTGTACCACCACCGGCACAGATAGACTTCAAGGCCAGAAATTACAATAATTACAATAATATCAGGTTGCTGTATCAGGAATCGCTGGCCTCCAATCCACAGGCTTCGACTGTCTGAGCAATTAAACTCGCAAAGGGAGCAGGATAGTACCTCTGTCTGCAGCCCTGCTTTGATTCACAGGAGTCATTCTTTAAAGCTCCTCCTCTTGTTCTCTACCTGTCTGCTACCTCTCTTGCCATCCTTACACCCTGAATGAGACAAGCTGAGCGTAATATCAATTCACTTGACCCAGAGACACCACAGATGTGTGGCAGACTGTTTAGGAGGAAACATTCAACAGCTTTATCCACAGACAAAAGCCAGAGGAAAGTTTACGCAGCTTT